GTTGAAGTGGAATTGATTCCAATTCATGTATAATATATCAGTCTTGTGTTAATTCATTAACTAATACAGTTGCTTCGCTATCAAGAATCGCTAATATTAATGTAAATTTAGAAATAATGAAGCGACAATTTCTTTCAATTATCTTTCAATGAGAAAAATGACATAATCACAAATCATTAGAACTATCGAAATTGTGGATTTGTCGATCAATTTAGTACGTTGCCAGTGAAAGGAATGACGCGTATGTTTTGTGTCAATCCAATTAAGAACGCCTTTTAGGATACACACGGAATAATTAATATTGATGTGAGGTTAAAGATGAGTGGAAGGTATTTGATTTTAATGAGAATTTGATTAAGGGTTATGAAATTTTGAGGGTATTGAATATTTTTAGTTTGATGTACCAAATAATATTGACAAAATTCAAAAAATCAAAACTATTGATGACTGTAGTTTTGACGATCAAATAATAATTTAACACCTAACATTAAAGAGTTCACAACCAGAAGATTCATTTCACTATTACACATACTTTTGATTCAGATAATATTAAAGTTTGTCAGATACAAGTACTTGGGATGACTTCTTCTTACGTGAACAGCATTGACGCCGCTGGATTGTCAATCAAAAGTATCTTTGCTCTCAATGGAATATGATTCCGATCTTTTATATTAACAATCGACATCCAATTTAATAGAGATCATAGAGTTTAAAGAGACTCCAATTACCAAACGTTGATCTTCAAATTTATGCTCAATTAATTGAACGAGACGGAGTTCGAACAATTTAAAGTATTGGTGGATTTTGACGCTCTTTTCTCCGATAATAATCAAAAAACTCTATTAGAACTTTGACTCATACAAGAGAAATCGTTCAGCATTTTATAGGTTACTTAAGATTTCCTACTGGTTTTCCTTATTTCTATGGTCTTTCCAGGATTTGAATGGGGCAAGTTCATTTACATTTCGGAAAATATTAGTTCAAGTTGGTGATATCGTAAAGGTTCCAGCCGATGAAAGTTACTTCAGATCAAACAAACGTCGATAAACAACCGGAAGATTTAGTGATTGGTGGTACCGTGAATGGATCAGGAACTTTTGATGTAGAAGTTACTCATTCTGGGAAAGATACGGTCTTGTCTCAAAAACGTTGAAGAAACTCGAACCTCTAAAATTCCTCCGGAAATTTTAAGGGTAGCAACAATTATTTCATAGTTTGTTTGTCCCATGTTGGAGTGTCACACCGACTAATTAATCAAAACTATATCAGATACTCAATCGGTTTTACTATAATCAAAATTTTGTTACACAAAGCTTATAATCGTTCACTATTAAAATAAACTCAAGGTTCCCACCAATATTGAGCTTATTTTTCTTTGGTTGGGAACTATCCTTAAGAACCGTTGCAAAGTAACAACATTCATTTTTTAAGAATGGGTTGAACACTCCTTCTTAAAAAACAATATTTACAAAAAATTTTAGATTCTTGAGATCAAATCTTGAAATTTTTTTTTTAAACGAAACTTTGTTCTCACACTATATAAACTTGCTGTGAAAATTTGAAGGTAAATTGACGTTTCATTAATGCAGTGAATCATTTTAAAGTGTACTAGCATATAACATTATAATAGACAGAATGCTGAAGGTTTCCAAAAGAAAAATTCAATCGCGCAGAGCAAGCCAAATTTCTGTAAATATGCGAAGATCCACCCAACAGAAAAAAAAAAATACTAATTCATGAAATTAACAAAGAACTTGCACAGATGAATGATGATGAATTGCTATTGATCTATTAAAATATCCTTCAACCAACTAACGATAGGAAGGTATCCAAACTTAACATATCGCCAAGAATTAATTGAAATAATTTAAAAAATTACCGGATGATCAATTAAAATCTGCAGGTCATTTGATTAAACACTCTAAAGGATAATCATGTGAGGCGCGGCTATTTCTACGGTATCGCTAATTATCAAATTGTTAAACACAGTTAAGTTTTGATCCTTTCTTCTTTTTTACTTTGAATAAAATGGTGAGTATTTTACTTACATCACATTTACCGCATTATAAAATTAATCTATCCTCTTGTTCAGACAATAAAACTAATTTCTCAGGAGAATTCACCATACCAACTAAAACTAAATCCATTCGTGTCGGGCTATAAATGAATCTCTCATTTTATAAATATGGTTTTTGGTAATTATCATTTTGGCAATGTCATTGTGAATTAAACTCTAGATCGTTTTAGCGTAAGTGCGAACCAATAATTTCAACAACGTGAAAATTTTGCCATTATTTTATTAGGATTCCATTCATGCAAAGCTCAATTGGATTTAAATTTGTGTTATTAAATTCTTTATTTTTACTTTGATAAATCCAAAAATCCAAATTATATCCAATTCATGACGATCAGTTTATTTTAAAAAATAATGTGTGCTAATTATTACTTATATTTGTTACATAATATTATACAATTAACTAATGCAAGTTTCTTTTTAATTAGTATTTTTAAATTAAAATATTTTGAATTATTTGCTTTTATTTAATTTGTATTATAATTTATTTGATAAAAATAATAAATAAAATAAAATTTCATAAATTGAATAATGTGCATTTTTACTCAAATTTATCGGTGAAATATATAATTCTTTTCGGAAAGTCATTAATATGTTCGTTACCCTCACTAAAAATTATCAGTAAAAAAAAAAGAATCGAAGAGAAAGGTAAAACACACTTTTAGAAATAAGAAAATCCAAATCGTCCTGTACCGATATTCCATATACCACAAACTTTGTTGCGCAATTTAAGCAAGTTAAATCATACTTTAATTTATAAATTTAAATAATTTAAAGCTGTTTTAAATGTAACGCTAGTGTTGTACTGAAGGAATAGAGCTATAAGAAATTAAATGTTTACCACTTTAAATCATTTTCATTTGATTTTTAGCAAGTACTGTACGAAAAAGAAGAAAAAAATAAATATAAAAAAATAAATTTTTTGTGAAGTTAGGAATAAAGGTTGTAAACAAAATGGATTTGACTTCGGAAATTGAAAGTAATTTCGAAAACTGCAATAATATGAAGCTACTTGTAATTATTATGTAGCATTTTCCTATCGAAGATTAACTTTAAAAATTGATTTACGGCGGGAAAATGATGGATTCTGCGAAAATTTTGAATTGTCATATCAAATTCTATTACGAACCACTTAAATTCGACTTCTACATCTACATTTGTTTGATTTTATATATTTTAAAACGAGAGCTAGTAAATAATAAGATTATGGCAAACTATAAATTATTTCGTTTATAAAAATTTATACTACCTTGAATCAAGCATTAAAATTGCAAAAGATTCCCACATAAGTATTAAATAATTTTTTTTTTTTTCTCAGTTGTATCTTCAACACATTTTTTGGGAATAAAAAAATGACGAAATTATTTGCAGAGATTGCGTTAATTCTTTACTTGCTTCGGCAAGTAGGTGGATTTAAATTATTTGAGCTATTTTGATGAAATCATTTTTTTATATTTTTTTTACAATATTAAATGGCGTACTTATCCTGTTTTTGTTCGATATTTGTAAGATAAAGAATACTGTCAGAACCACCAGAATAATACTTTACAGACATCTGATAATACTTGCTTTCTTTTTATTATCTGTATACCTAATATTTGTATTTTTACCTATTCCTGCGTTTTAATTATATTTTCACCTCTAAATTGATTATTTTGTAAGGATTTGACGAGACGGAACTTTTTTGTTCTGACTTACAAGTCTTTGCGTGTGCATGTAATGGAGAAGAGCCGACCTTCGAGGGGAGGGTTCACGCCGTAATATAGCTTAGTAATTTGCACTTGAGAAGATGTGGTCAATGTCCTATGAATTTAGGTTTCATTAGAAAAGTCACCCGGGGTTCGTAGGGATGCCTGAGTACGGGTGTTGATGAACGGCTATGGTAGTGAACTTACATTCATTTCTTGCATATTTTTATACATTCCTTGTTTCGAGACCTTTCGATGTCGTCGTTTGATTTCCCAAAAAATCACATTAAATGCTAATTGGGTATTTTAAAGTTTGGTTCGCAATTATTCATTTTATTGCCTGGCCGCATATCCAACAGCGTACATTTTAATTAAATAAAAAAGATTCATTATTTTCCTTTTTGGTATGTACACTATATGAAATGAATGTCTTTTATGCGTATTATATACATCATAAGGTGTTATAGCTTCAATTAATTACTTTTGTTATGACAATCTTTAGACAAGCTTTTGTCATCCTTTTTATTAAGTTACAACAAAAATTTTACAGTATATTATTAATAAAATTTTCCTATTTTCACATCAATTACTTAAACACCAAAGCGGTTTCTTATTACATGAATTTTTCAATTATTTGGGTTTCCGGTCATCTCTTTCAGGGGAATGCACTTACAGTATCTTTTGTTTAGATAAATTCCACAATGTGGAAGTTTCAATAAGAATCACATTTATTGCGGAAGATAACAGCTACTGCATGATGGGTATGTAATTGCGTCGTATTTCGTCTATTTAATATCACTTGGATTAAAATATCTCTCTCTCTCTCTCTCTCTCTCTCTCTCTGACTTTTCGGCTAAAGACTAAGACTTCAGAGGCTTCAGACAAGTTCGTTTAACGTACATCAAGCCCCACAATATTCATATCAATACAGGTCCCTTAATCCTCCCATGCCAAAATTAGAACCAGTTTTTGAGATCGATCCAGAGATTAGTCCAGGATCTAATACTTAATCTAATAGAGAATGTGATTCCTAGAAGGAGTAATGCTTCATCTGTATTCGATTCTAATGAGGATTTCCTGATCCTACAATATTCACACCACGCGAAAAATTCACGAGTTGATTATATAAAAGAAATATTTTGCAAAACAAAATGTATCAACAATTACAACGTTAAGAATATTACACTAAACCTAAGCTGTATTGTCGTACATATATTATCATACAAAGGTTTGTTATTTTTTTTTTTGCAAAAAATATAAAATTTTTGGGACCCAATAATTCAAGAAAAAACTAGTGATGGTTGAATATTATACCTTTCTGAATTCAAATACTTCCACTGTAAAACTTCCAATGCTACCTAGTACGCAACTACAGCAGCATCTATCGTAGTACAATCTCGAACTGAATCTAGCATATCAACCATTCTTAAAAATTCCATCATCTGAATTTTCTAATGCGCATGGTTTCTTAGTTCTTATTGGCTATTACTAGAGGCAGGGATGAAGCTGAAACGGAATCGAAAAATTTTTTTTTTATAATAATGAATAAAAAATGGTTTAAAAAAATTATTTGCAATTTTAATAAACAATCTTTTTTATTAGTATCTATTTTACCAAGTTTGCTGAATAAGCTAAAAAAAATTACAATAATTTACTTTGGTTTCATCCATGTTAACCAGTAGAAATACCTTCATAGAAGTCTAACTTGTACCGTAAATTGGAAAGACCTTTCAAACCTTGAACTTTTCTTTCACGATCATCTTGATGAATTTCGTAAAACTTGGTTATTTAATATCTCGTTAAGATAATGCATTTGTTGAAGATCTTTGCGAATGATCTTAAATATTTTGTTACTGTATTTATATCATCTTCAGTCTTTTTGGTCTGTACCAAGTATTTCAATTCCAATCTCTCCAAATTTAAGGTTCCTTTTTGTCCTTGATTAGCCAATAAATTTAAACTTTCCGCTTCTATTAAATAAACTGAGTATATAGCCACGAAAGTTACATACACGTTCCTATCTTTTAAATATTGATAAAAGAGGCAGTATTAGAAATTGAAGAATAAATAAAAGAATAAAAGTATTATTCATAATAATAATATTATAGAGAACCTTTTAACGAGACAACTTTTTTTTTCTCCACTAACTAAGGTTGAAATTAATAAAATATTTTAAAAATAAA